TCATTTTAAGCACCTTCAACAGCAATACTGTACTATCTGTGATACTTCAGACAGTATTCTTCAGTTATGAAGTACCACATGTGAGCATTACAGGGTTGTCATTATCAGTCCTGTCAGGTGAGGAGCACACCAGCCTCTTTCTGTCCATTTCAGCCCATTTTTCCGCTGCCTTTGTGCTCCAAGCAGAGCACAACACTGATATTCTTACATTCCAAGATGACCATTGTAGGGTGTTTGTATGTGACTGGTTCAACTGATATAATACTGGGACAGTTTGACTGACCAGTGAAATCACTGGACCAGTGAAATCACTGGACCTCAGTCCCAGTTGTCAGTTTTGGAACAGGACGTGAGATGCTGAAATGTGCACTTAGTTTGGGGAAGAGTGGGCTAAAATGGACAGGGACTGGTGTAATCCATACCTGACAGGACTGACGCTGTTGCTAAGGCAATAGGATGCGTAACCAAGTATTAGAAAAGAAAAGACACATGAATCTTTTTTTTTTTTGTCCACTGAGTTCATAATTACCATATAATTACCACCAGGATCAACTTCTAATATTACTTATTAATGCATTATGACCACTATAATCCACACACAAGACATATAACACTGTTAACATCCTCTGGTTCTCCAGGTTCGTTTGGTAATAAAGTAAAACATATCCAAGCTTGTCCTACCAGAGAGCAGATCTCATACTGCAATTTCTTTGTTTCATTTGTATGAAGCCCATCATCCCTTTCCAGATTTAAAAGTCTACTTTATAATCTTTCCAAGTGGCACTGAAAGTACGTACATGTGTAGTTAATTAGTTGGTGATGTTCTGTTTGTATAGGCAGTAATTAAGGGCAATCTTTTCTATTTTATACATGTATGAACTAGCCAAAAATAAAATAAACAAAGTTCTCACTGCCCTGGCTTCCTTCTGACACTTTATATTGGATCAGATTCATGGCACACAATTTCTATATTAGGTTTTCCTACAAATACTAAGTAAACAACAGTAACTAATCCATTTCTCCAGGTCTCCTGGTTTTGCAGAGGTAGAGAAATGAGGAAAGACTCATTTCAGTTTGTGTAGTTTGGCAGAGATCTGAGTTTCTGTTCATTTACTGAAGGTGTTCAGGATATCAGCCTAGCACCATCATCTGGTCAGGGAGGGGTATTACAAAGAGTAATGGCCTGTGAAGGTCTTCCATGTTAAAAAAACATTAAATGGAACATAATTTTCTGAAAAAAGGTGGTAGTTTTAAATGTATCTGTTTGAGGAACCCGTGTCCTGTGCTGCGTGTTGCAGGGGGTGCATGAATCTCGAGGAGTAAGTGAGGACTACCTGAAGCTGGAGGCTCTGATCCAGAAGGTTGTCTCTCCGTATCTGGGCACTCACGGCCTCTACACTGATGACGGCTCTGTGGCGCAGTGCTCCTGTGTGCTGGGTAAGAGTTCAGTTCCAAGTGTAGCGTGAACAAGTATGGAGGTCACACATTAGAGGGAGCTGCCATAAAGAGGGCTGCTACTTTGTTAAGCCCAAAACGTGAGCAAGTCCAGTGTGTGTGCGGTGCATTTTACAAGCTTCTGCTTAAATAATGGCACTGCTCATGCTTTTAGAACTGGAGATGGATGTGTAAAACTAGACGATTTTTATGTTTTATAAAACATTGGAACAAACTATATGTAAGTGGTCTTGTGGGCAAACCTTGTATCTCTGGGAAATAAATGTATAGGGAGAGGAAAAAAGGTCTAACAAAGTCTATAGTATTTGTAATGTAACTCAAATAAGATAAAAAATAAATTAATTAAAAATAAACCAAGTAAAAAAAACATCAAAAAACATCAAAAAACAACATATTGGACCATTTATCATGAAATGTTCACACAGCATAAAAGGAAGCTGGTATTTTCTTAAGACAGCAGTTTGCAAAATATGAAACTGGTATAGTAACATCATCTGTATATATACACCCTACTGAAGGAAGACTGCAGGGTTAATACATGCCTCTTCTATAGCAAGTGTAGTTAATCACCATATACCACCACATGGCCAAAAGTATGTGGACACCAGAACATTACATTGTAAAACCATGGCCATATGTATCCCCCTCTTTAGTGCAGGACTTCCCCTAGATTTTGGAACATGACTGGGGATTTATTCTGCCACAAAAGCTTTGATGAGGGTTGATGCTGAGTGATAATGCCTGGCTTGGACCTTACATTTTGCACGGGGCATTGCCATGCTGAAACCTAAAAGGGCTTTACTCAAACTACTTTCACAAAGTTGGAAGCACATAGTTATCTAGAATATCATTGTATGCATGCTGTAGCATTAATATTTTCCTCCACTAGGGGGCCCAAACCATAAAAAACAGCCCCAGACTACTATTCCTCCTCCACCCCACTTTACAGATGGAACTCTGCACTCAGACAGGTGGAGTTTTCCTGGCATCCATCAAACCCAGATTCTTAGATCAGACTGCCAGATGGTGAAGCATAATTATGTTAGGCATGTGGTGTATTTTTGAGCTGCCATATATACAGTGTTACAGGAACAATAACTGAGACAACAGGAACTTCAGCCTACAAGATGCAACCTTCTTAGGTTAATATTGTAATTATTAGATACCAATTTAGTCTTTATCTCTCTCAGAGAAACGGCTGATGCGGCGCTGGCCCAAGCCCGGCGACCCCCCTGCTAAAAATCCAGTGGTTCGCTCGAAGAGCTACAACATCCCCATGCTGACACCTGTGGCCGAGTACGACACGGAGACAGCCTCAGTGGGCAGCGTGGGGGTGCGCCGTCACTCTGTTTGCGAGATGACCTCCTGTCTAGAGGAGCCTGCCTTTTCCAGTGTGCCGTCCAGTCCTGAGACAGACAACGCCTCCCCGCTCTCAGCTAGCCGGCCCGACCTCTCAACAGAGCAGGACTTGACCTCAGCCCTGTCCAGCTGTGCGGGGCAGATAGAGGACAGCTCTCCACCCCAGTCCCCCCCGATCTGCCCTGAATGTTCCCCTGGACCCTTCGGCCCTGGCAGCTCACGGAACTCAGGATCTGACCCAGGTCAGGAGGTCTCACTGCCCAGCGGCTCGTCCAGCCCGGAGACGATCGTAGATCAGATCCTGGAGTCTCTGGACTCAGACGCAGAGGGAATATTCATAGAGTTCCCCCGCCGCTGCTCAGGGTCATCCACATTCAGCCGAGAGAGCGGCAGGCAGAGCGTGGCCTAGAACGCCACAACCGGAAAACATTCCTGAACTGTTCCTATTTTTAGGAACATTTTATCTCTGGAATCTTTCTAGCACAATTTAAAGAGTTTGTGGGTTTAAGTAGCAGGGATTGGTTTCGTATGTGTTGTCTGGAGATTCCCACATCATCTCACATTCCTTGTTCTTTTACATTGAAGGTTTGAAGAGAAACACTCCACCACCTGTACGTAGCTAACTGAATGGAACAGAATACACTGTACTGACCTGACAACTCTGCAGTTTTTTTTGGACATTGACATCTGGCGTATAGCTAGTATAGAAGCATAGATTTTATTTTTAGGGAAAGAATTTCTGAGGAGCTTTTAACAATTTTTTGAAATTATTAAAAATTATCATAAATAATAATGCCTGAAATCATGAGAAAACCACGTTTAAATTTTTGAGAGAACTTTTTAAATTGCGTCATCTCTGTAAAATTTTGTAAACTATTTTGACAATCACGGATCCCTTTTAGAATAATAAATTAATATATTCTAATTGTTACATGCCTATTTATTTGTAATTTTGTATAAAAACATGAATGATAATTTGATTAAAAGATTAAATACATATCAATTCCTTTTGTCTCTGCCTTGATTTATAGTAGGTGCTTAGACCAATACCCTGGCTGAATCTGACCTGACTGAAGACGACCCTTCTGTGTGCGCTAGGGCAGTTCTTGAGAATAATTTACAAAGGAGAAATGCGAAGACTCATAACTGGCGGTGTGGTTATTGTTTACTCCTGAAAACCAGGGAACTTCAGGCTGAACCCTGCATACCTTCAGCATCAGCACAAACAAACTCAAGCCAGTTTAGTAAGGTGAGGCAGAACTACTGGTATTGTTCATGATATTGCAAAATTAGTAATGACCAGCAGTTCCAGGATGTCCACATTAATGTTGTCTGGACACTTCTTGACAAAGACAACACAGGGTTGCTTTAAGCATTCACTAGCCACTACCCTGAATATCTCACTGGGTCGAAAGTGCTCATAATAAACGCAACATTTTATTGCAGTGTTTCTCAAGCCTGGTATTAATATACCACTGCCCTGCATTACCACCACACGTGTTCAACTGAGGAAGGCCTTGTTAATGAACTGATGCGCTGGATCAGGTGTGGTAGCGCAGAGAACGCACCAAAATATACAGACAGGGCTACTACAAGACCAGAGTCGGAAACTACTGCTTTATTGCATTAATATAAGAGAACAAAGATTTGGACTCGATGTGGCCTTCACAAACACTACAGTTTGACCAGCATGTGTGCTACAAAGCCAATTCTGTTTTGACCACTATTTTTTTTTAAACAGTTTTTGAACAAAGCTGAAATTATTTCAGAATCAGTGCACTACATGCTATGTTTAATTTCAAAATTACCAATTCACGATAATGAGGAGTTTATTCAGCCACAGTGTTTTAATGAGTTAACTACAGTGTCTTCATGTACAGAGTGTCCAAACAGTAGAGGAACACTAGGTTTGCTGTCCATCTTCTCTGTCTGTACCTTAGTACTTTCAGGAAGAGAAAATATGAAGCCACTTTTTTTCTTTTTTTTTAACATTTTCATGTAAAAACCATTAACGGATACAAACAGACCGGTTTCCAAAAAAATAAAATAAAATAAAAAACTTCAAAACAAATACATAACTTGTCTGGAAAGCACACACAGTCATTTTTTCTGGTTTTCAAAGCTCTTTATCTATTCTTTCTCAGACATCGTGTTCTTTTGTAAACACCACATATTTCCATCAAAGATCAGCGAACTATGAGTGACTTTAATAACAAAAACCAAACAAAGTACAGGAACAACACAATGCAGAAAAAAAAGGTATAAAGGAAAAGGCATCCACTGCCCTTTCAAAAGAACTTTGAGAAACTAACACTTAAAGCAAGAACTAATACATTCTTCTCCAGCAGACAGAAAAAAAGCACTTTGGTCATCTTCACTGACTGTCCCATGCAGAAGTACAAAAACAGAAAACATCTTCAAGGCTCTTCTTCTGACCACCTTTTGGACAAGGAGTAACAATTTCTTTGCTTTAAAGTGCACATTTTGAGGCATTTCTGACTGAGACTGGGCACAAACACACACTGTGTCTTTGAGAGAACACAAACACACCACACACACACACACACACACACACACACACACACACACAGGCCTCTAAATACAGTCCTCCACACACTGTAGCTCAAACAGACGGAGTGGACGCGAGTCTTAATAGCGTAAACAGCTGACATTCATAAACTGACGAACTATAATAAAAGTCACATCAGAATGACAGAGTTTCTCTCATTGTAACTAGCGACCACATTTGGGCTATAAACACAGAACTATTTTTCTTTTTTTGCTTTTCTAAGAACTTCTCAAGGCCCCAGTCCTGCTCTCCTCAAATCTCACAAACACACAGAGTGAGACCAGCACTAAAACAAATGTGACAAAAGTCAAAAGCATTGGGTGGCCCAACAGCACACGAAGAACAGATGTGAACAAGGCGATTCAACCTCAATAAAATGAAGAACGTTGTGGAAACAGCATGTTACAGGTCATAACACACAGAGCAAACAGTGAAAGGAGCTTCGTTTCAGACACACACTCACACACTCCCACACACCCTGAGGCCATCTCAGCTCCCACTGAGGCTGTGTGTGTGTGTGCATGTGTCAGTTTCACCTGTATGTTCAGTGCTTCCAAACACTCCGCTTCCCAAATAAGCTCATCAAATGATGCCTCCCATGATGCTTAATTGCTCATAAAATTAGAGGACTGTTGCTATGAGTGACCTATAATGGTAGCCAGTCTGGCCTCAACAAGTAACTAAACTCCTTATTGCCAGCCTCGACTCTTCAACATCGAGACCGTCTCTGCTCTCGGATCATGCCGTCATGCTCACGTTCAGAGTTTCTTAATAAATATTTTGTTTTTTTTTCTGTACACCTGCATACCACTGTGCATATAACACAGCCCTAAATCAGGACTTTTCTCCCTCTGTGAAAATCCTGTTCCTGTAACAATGAAATTCCAAGAGCTAAAAATAATACTTTAAAACAATTAAAACAGCTAAACACATGTGAGAACTCAAAAAACACTGAGAGGGTAAAATAAATATCTGAATTGCACAAGTAAAATATAAGAAACTCTGATATGTCAGAGGGAAAAGGGCCAAAAGTTCTTTGTCAGGCGGCCCCTCATAAAGGGGGATTCAGCGCCCTCCTGTGGTCAAACTGTGTGTTGTCCACTCTGAGGAGGCTGGAGACTGTAGTCAGTTCATTGTCATGACTTGATCTTCCAAAGCTGCAGACAAATAAATACATAAATAAAATTGACAAAGATGGTCACTTCATAATATATTATGATAATAATAATGCATGTGCACACTTTCGATCTAAACTCAGCATAACATAGATGCCATTACAATATACAATGAAAAGATAAGAAACCATAATTCTGCATCTTTTCCCTCAAAATATTAATACCAAGTGCTGCATATTGTCACTGCTGGAACAAAACCTTTTCTCCATTTTTTTCTATGTAATTTGAAGCCATCTGTTGTTTACGCTGTGTCAAAATGTTAAGACAAATGAACCAATCGAAACTGTTCAGTATGACTTATAATCTCATTTTTCTTCCTCCTGCAAAGTTTTTTTTGGAAATATAAGGTTTTGTTCTGAGCGCAATGACATAAAATATAAACAGCTGTTTATAGTTTTGATACTTTCCTATCTATAACTTATTTGTGAACATAGTCATTTTGGAGTGACACATGTCATCACTCACCTTCACATTGAAGCCCAACAGGTCACTTATGACTCCTGACACTGCAGACAGGATGACCACCTGTGTGATATTATACAGGAGGGGGTTCATGGTAAGGCCGTATAATCTGAACGGAGTATCCAACTCCTGATGGAAATGAGAGAATAAAGAAAACATATCAGTCTAAACAGGTTATCAGCACTGGCCAGTGCACTGTTTGAGTGTTTAGTGATGACAGAGGCAAAGACGGAGTTGCACTTGCTGCTTTATTACCAACACAGTTGCTGTTATCTGTGATGTGCGTCTTTTACTGTCTGTATTTTGTATCTCTGCATTGTTCGCAAAGTCCTTGCCTACAAGGTGGCTGGTGGCTCTTTTGACTGGCTGACTGGGGTTACTATGTTACATTAGTAGTTTGCACTTTTGTAGGTTTATCTTCTGTTGCTACTCTGTGTGCCTCTATGAACATCTATGGTGAGAATGACAACAAATCTGAACCTTCAGCAGTTTGGTGGCCAGCTTGAGAACATTGTTGACCAGTGTCAGCTCTTCTTTCTTGTTTGGTTTCTTCTCCATTTTCAAGTACAGATTGATCTGGTTAACAAGAAATGGTAAAAAAGAAAAAGACAATTATTTCTTACAAACAGCAAAAACTGCACGCTTCATTCATAAAGCAAATAAGTCTGCATTAATAATGTTAATAAGACCAGACTTCACGAGTCCTGCTACTCTTAAGCTATACATAAAATACATAATGTGCCTTAATTTCTGCACAGGCCACATTTTATGTCTTATTCCTTTCCCCCAATATGTTCAATACAGCAAATAAACAGTGATTGTGCATTAAAACGTGTTCTTCGTAGATGATGTGTTAGCTTATTTTTATTTAGAAAATCAACATGTTATTTGATCCCCAAATTTCTTACAGTTTTGATTGGACTGTTCTGTTCCATTTTCTACTCTTACACAGTTTTGTAAACGCTAACCAGATAAAACTACTTTTTCCAGAAATAAAATTATTTACTAATACAGGTTTTTAATGCATTTTAAATGGTGTTAATTAATAACATTAATGCATTTTAATGGTGTTTGTTATTAATGCATTCTAAAACAGCAAGGAAATGGTATTAATTACAAATAACTATCAGTTCCTAGATACCATAAGAACAGTGCACAAAAACAGACAGCTAGGCAACAGAACCAGTCTGTTTTACGGGCATTAAATCATCATCATTAACTTTTATTGTAATGAAATTTTCACACAATGTGAGAAGGATTAAGTGGCTTAGAAAATATGTGTGTGTGTGTGTGTGTGTGTGTGTGTGTGTGTGTGTGTGTGTGTAAAGGGCAACTGCTGTGCTTTGTAGAACTGATGTAGAAAAATAAAAAATGAAAAAAGAAAAGAAAACCTGATGTGCATTTTTTTGAATAGACTATATAAATGTTCTATATAATTATATATATTATATATTATTTATATAATTATCTATCAAATAAATTGTTAAAACATCACTAAAATTGAAAATCATTTGAAATGTGTAAATGAATTAACTCATGAAATTTCATCAGTATGAAAATCACAGTATGTGTATACCATGATACAGTACATACAATATATCAAGCTCTACTCTGAACCCTTTGTGAAAACCCTCTTTGAATTAAACATGCTGTGTGCGTGCTTCTGTGTGCGTGTTTCTGTGTGCGTGTGCTATCTGGTGAGCCGCACCTGTTCGGTCAGTAGAATGGAGGTGTTGCTGTACTTTTTGCTAGTCTCGGAGCCCAGAGTGACGAAGCGCAGCAGGAAGAGAGAGAGAGACAAGCACCAAATCACCAGCTCCCAGTTATAGTGAAACTCCAGAAACGTCTCGTGCACGTGGAGCAACTGCATGGAAACAGTGGAGAGAAGAGGGTGAGAACCTTGAGAACCTTGAGAACCTTTAAAAACTGTTAGAGCTTGAGAACAGCATGTAAACAAAGCCTTCAGCTCCAAGCACCACATCTTAATGTTCTCCAGAAATGAGGCACCTGTCTGACTGATTTAGTCATTTGGATCATTTTAACTGTAACAAATAAGAACAGTCAGTTGTATTTAGTGCGTAGTTGCGTAGTTAGGTGAAGTCGACTATTTATACTGAAATGGGGTAAGAACAGCTCGTACACAGTGCCTCTGGCTTTAAACAATAGCAGATTTTTACCAGAAAACTGATAGCTTTAGTCTAAAATCTGACTGGCTAAGCCACGTTTACAGCTGCAGCAAAACACCCAACATAAACATATAAAAATGTACAAATGAACAGAATAGAACAGAGCAGAGCTGTTTGAATGATTTTAACTGTAACAAATAAAAACAGTCAGTTGTATTTAGTTAGTGGTTGGGTAGCAGTTTGGTTGTGAACAATTTTTGATCAACTGTTTCAAAGAATAAATGAGAACCAGGCTTAGAAAATCTTCCTGCTGCTTCCGTTTCACTGAACATGTTTCAGACTCACATACAGCTTTCCATTTACACACCTGGGCACAGCAGATGAAGACCACTGAGAGAGTGAGGAGGAAGGCAGATGAGACGATTACATCCACTGAACGCTGAGGACCACGCCTCTGTACAACACACACACACACGCGCACACACAGAGGAGGAAAACGGATTACACACACGGACAACTGAGATCACCATCATTCAGTGCTTTGGGGTGCATACTAGCATTGTTATTGAGCAAATGACTGCCTCTATAACAGTGTGACCTGCCTTTCATTTGAAAGACAGACATTTAAAGTAGACGTAAACAAAACAGTAATATGTACAATTTTAACAGCTCTAGTTAAATAATGTTTTGTTGATTTTCTAAGTGAAAATAACACACCCACTAATTAAAAAATTTCTGCAAATTTTCCAGCACAATTTCTATTTGCAGTGTTCAACATAGGATAAAAACATAAAATGTGCCGCAACCTTTACACAGGTGCAGGCGCGTGTTCTCTGTAGAGGATGTGTTAATGTATCTAGAAAATCACGTACTTAGAATCATCAAAACGTCATTTTTAGGTAGTCTTTCAGAAATACAAAAATATTCTACAGATGTTTTATTTTTTTTTAAGATGAAGCCTTTTATACCTTCAAGTAGGAGCGCAGAGAAAGCCACATTTTAATGTTCTGCACTTTCTTCAGGCGGAAATGAGGCACCTCAGACTTCCTGGCCCTCCGGGCTGAGGTCAGGTGACCAAAGAGCTTAGCAAAAAGCAGCCTCTGCAAAAAGCCAGACAGATGTCAGTTGCGATTTAAACACAATTCAGCCTCAGGCCTCTCAGCTGGTTGCAGTTAATTATTTATTGTCCCATTATCTAAAATTATAGAGCCCTGGGGTTTTATGTGCTTTACAGTGATTTCCTACATTCCTCATCAATGAAAACAGAACAGTAATGATGGTGAATGCTGAGAAACTTTATATGAGTCAATTCAATTCAAAAGTCTTGTTATACATGCTTACTCATGGTAAAACATATATAATTTTCACATTTTCACAAATGTGCCAACTTCCAATTCAAAAGAATATTAGCTACAGATATGTGTGAAAACACTGATTGTAAGAAAAAAAAATTAACAAAAGGAAGGAGATGGCTTGCTGAAAAGAAAAATGTAAGTGTATGCAGTGGAGGGCAGTATTACTTCACCAAATACATATACACTCACCAAACACTTTATTAGGAACATCTGTACACCCACACATTCTATTATCTACTTAGCCAATCGTGTGGCAGTGGTGCAGTGCATAAAATCAGGCAGTAATGTTCACATCAACCAACAGAATGGGGAGAAATGTGATCTTAGTGATTTTGACTGTGGCATGATTTTTGGTGCCAGATGAGCAGGTTTGAGTATTTCTATAAATGCTGATCTCCTGGGATTTTAACACACAACCGTTATAGTTAAATTCCATTTACAGTGAAACTCCAGAAACATCTTATGCATGTGGAGCAATTGCATGGCAACAGAAGAGAGAAGAGGGTGAGAACATTTAAAAACTGTTAGAGCAACGTTCAATGTTCTGCGGAAATGAGGGACCTTAGACTGTCACACATGTAACCTTTTCACACGCAACCATCTCTAGAGTGTACTCAGAATGGTGCAATAAAGAAAAAACATCCAGTGAGTGGCAGTTCTGTGAACAAAAACGCCTCGTTGATGAGAGGTCAACGGAGAATGTCCAGAATGGTTTGAGCTGACAGAGAGTCTACGGTAACTCAGATAACCACTCTGTACAATTGTGGTGAACAGAAAAGCATCTCAGAATGCACAACACATTGCACCTTGAGGCGGATGGGCTACAACAGCAGAAGACCACATCAAGTTTCACATCTGTCAGCCAAGAACAGAAAGTTGAGGTTGCAGTGGGCAAAGGTCGGCATTTGCATGCTCACCAAAACTGGGCGGTTGCAGACTGAAAAAACATAGCCTGGTCTGGTGAATCTTGATTTCTGCTGAGGGGCCCTACCCAGTTTTAGTATAGTGCTCCTAATAAAGTGCTCATTGGGTGCATATCATCGCTGATGTTGTTAACTGTAAGTTAACGAAACAAGATTTTATTCTAAGTTGTTTTTGACCATTTCTGTTGGTCCATTTATCTTGAACTTTAATATGTATTAAAAAATAAGTAAATAAATAAATAAAAACAGTCAAAAGAAAAACAGTAACTTTACAGGAGAAGGTAAAAACATTCTTAACTTTCAATTTAAGTTAACATAAAGAGGTTTCAAGAATTTTGGAACATTTCTGTTGGTCCATTCATCATAAACTTTTCACAGTGTAAAGGAGAGCTGCCATATTAAAATGATGTAGAAAAATTAAAAATTGACAAAAATAGAGAAGAAAGTATGTTCAGTAATGCTCCTCGCACCTGCTTGTACGTCCTCTCTGCCACGCTGAGCAGAAAGAAGAAGAGCCAGATGAGGCAGACACGCACCACAAGGCTCACCGTCACCATGGCAATCACCAGGATGTTAGAAGAGGAGCCAAAGGCAACAGAGATCATCTCACTGGCTGAGAGAGAGGCCAGTTGATCCAGGTCTTTATACTGGAAAAGTCTATATGCGAAGGGTGTGAGGCCCAGAGTCACAGCCACCAGATTGCCAAAGATCTGGTACCCAATGCCAGGAGTGTACAGATTCACCTGAACAACAGGGGAGGAGGAGGGGGGGGGAGAGAGAGAGAGAGAGAGAGAGAGAGAACAACATTAATCTAAGAACAGTATGGCTTAGTAGTTTTATTTATCATGATCTTATGATTCATAAAATAAAAGCCTGTCAGGTAAGACAAACTGTCTATAAATACCTTCTATATATATATATATATATATATATATATATAAATATATATATATATAAATTCTCTTAACAAGTCTTAAGTGGGGAATCAAACCCAATAACGCAGAGCTTGTGAACTTCCTTGTGAATTGCCAGTTTACAAGCTCGTTACATTCAGTATTCAAGCCTCAAGCTAGAGAAACTTGCATAAAACATCTTCAGGGAATTTTGGCCCTAATGTTTCCATTTAACTTAAGGAAGCAGCATAACATGCTTAAGTGGAAAATGAAAGAAAAACTAAAATCCATAATCGTAAAGTTTCAGCACTTCAGCAGTTTTTATCAGTTCCAATATTTCAATTTCAATGTTCAGCTTTAAATTTATCCTTTAAGCATTTAACTGATGATGAAAATACTTAAGATGTTTTAAGCAAGCAGACACTGGACCTTAATTATTAGAAAATGATCACTGTTTAAATCATAATACTGGTCACAGAAATCACATCAAAAACCCACTTACTCTATTCATGATCATGCCGCTGATCTCCAGCACTGACATGTCTGCCTTCTTGCACTCATTTCCCTCCCACACGATGGCGCTCACGCGCTCCAGCCCCGGGTTTGAGCTATGCAGCCATGGGGCATGACCCTAAACAAACACGAGAAAAGACAGAGAAAATTCCACTGAAACAATGTTGGCCTGCATAACATAAACATAAATAATAAACATAAATCATGAACTCTAAAAGAACATACTACTAAACAACGTGTGTAACCTTGATGTACAAAGTAGAACAGAATCACCGAATCACTTCTATAGCTCTGTGGCCGCACCTGGTGGAAGGGGTCATCCCGGTACTCCTTTTTGGAGGCAGGGCAGACAGCAGACCCTTCCCCCTCTGTCTCACTGGTGCAGGAGGAGCGGCACTCGGCGCAGTGCAGGAAATCCTCCCAGAGCACATCTTCTGTCTCTGACTCGTGCCGAGTGCTCTCAGAGTCCTGTGTGCGCAGACTGGAGCAGCGGGAGCTACAGCTGGTGCCAGACTTGGGCGTCTCCTGTAGAACAGAGAGAGAGACAGAGAGAAGATGAGACAGAGGAAAAGGGTGGGATGGTGGGGGGTGGGCTATATAGGCCCATGTATCATAGGGACAGGTGGTAGGTTCAGTTGTATGCAAAAGTTTGAACATCCCCAGTCAAATTACATGCTTTTTTAATTTCCTAAGTGAAAATAAGCTAACATTTACTCTATAGGGAAGAAATAAAATATGTTTTCTGCCAAATTTAGTGCACAATTTCTAATATGTCACTGTGCAAAGACAGTTATCTCCAAAACAGTAACTTTACAGGAGATGGCAAATACTTAAACAAAAAACTCTTAAATTTTGATGCAAGTCAATGTAAAGACGTTTTATTCCAAGCAATTTTGGAACATTACGATTGGTCCATTCATCATGTAATTTTTACATGATGTAAAAGACAGTTGGTTTGTTCAAATAATGAAGAAAAATCAACAAAAATGGAGAGGCATGTTTTCTCCCCTATTTAGTCGTCTCCAATTCCACCCGCTAGTTAGGACTCCCCCAATCACACAATGCTATCAACGCTAGGAGGGTGAAGGCTAACACAGGCACCTAACACCTGTGAAGCGCAACCACATCTTTTCGATGAGCTGAACGCGCTCGGAGGAAAGCGCCAACCGCCAGATCTGTTACGTCAGCTAACAGACGCCTGCACTGACTAGCATAGAGGGCTCTCTACCCACCCACAGAGCGAGGCCAATTGTGCTCTCTAGGACTCCTGGCCACGGATGGCTGTAGCATCACCAGGGATCGAACTCACGGTCTCCTGATGATAGGACCAACGCTTAGACGGTCGCGCCACTCAGGAGCCCCGAGATGCATGTTTTTTTTTGGACAGCGACAATTTCTTAAACAAATCGGAGCTGGAATCTGCTAAAATTACCATTTGTCTCGGAAACAAAGGTCAAACAACTAAGGATAAACCTTTAAATAACTTAAAAACTGTTTTCAAAAGACGCATGAAAAGCATACATTTAATCCACTGCCCAAACGTTTGAGTAGTACAGTGTAGATGCATTTGTGTGCAAGTGTACCTCTGCTGTATAGTGTTTTTTGTAGTGGTGGGTTTTTCTGTTACGCAGGGTGCATTCGCTGTTCATACGCTCCATGCCCCTGCGGAGGGTGCTGTAGTTCTCTGGGTCTTCTTCACTTGATGCTTCGTCTGACATGTTCTCCACACTGCGCAGAACTGGCACGTCCTGCATACACTGAACATACCGCAGCATTACTGAGATGCTTCTGGAGTTTCTAAAGGACAATCTTTGTATAACATGCACAGCTTGTGTGGGCACGTACGCACATGTTTCAGTGTATTTCTCACTAATAGGCAGCTGTTATGTCCATGTATTGCGGTCTGAATGCAAAAACCAGACTGTAGAATCAGGATGTCCACATTTTGAGTGTGTATGTGTGTATAGTACTGTGCAAAAGTCTTTTTATCTGGGCAGTAAGGGTGAATTTTGCATGTAAAAAATACTGCATAGGTTTAGAATAAATACTGATAGAGTAAACACACATTATATGTTTAAAATACTAAAAGAGCAAACAGTAAACATTAATAGAGTACAAAGGAACAAGAATTACTTTTTTCAAAAAAAGTTACTTATATGCTGTGAGATGATGAGAAGCCTAGAAGGACTGCCTCAGGTAGAGGTTTGAAAATGGTTACCACATTCACATAAAATCATTATTGTGTATGTTTAGTTGTATTTATTCTAATTTTAGTATTTTTTGAAACAAATACATGCTTACTTGCCCAATAAATAGATTTAAATAGGCTTGTCCCACTTATACAAATTTGGCTGATGATTAATTGCTACATAAATAACTGCAATTAACATTTTTTTTTGTTCATTATGTGCAACTATTAGTTCAAGCCTAAAGTGCTGTGATTGGCTGATCAGCTATTTTGCTTGCTAGCTGCTGATACATAGTAACTATTGGTAACTATTACTAAGTCTTCTCTGTTTGAGAAGTGAGAATATGACCATCTGTCTCCCCCTGGGCCAATACTTAATTTTTGGGGGGTTCTAGGCACCACCCTACTGTTGGATCCCCCCGCGACTGAGATAAATAACAACATAAAAAACACTGATGCCCTAAATGACTGATCATACTGCTTACAGTTTTTATAAGCTTAAGAGATGGCCCTGGTCTCCCCTCATCTGAGTACACACTTGTGTGCCTGTGGGTACTGTGCTGATGAGCTAGCTTCAGCTTTAGTAGTTTGAGGGTTAATGTGTGTGCAGGCATACCTTGGTGAGAGGTGGCAGTATCAGGTTGTTCCTGGGCTGTGGGCTGCTCCAGCATGGCTCCTCGGAGCGCAGCAGCTCACAGTGCGGATCGTGCAGCTGCAGCCCCTCTTCGCTGCTCTTACTGGTGACGCGGCCATCCAGAGACACGTAGCCGTTGTCTGTCTCCGTGGACTTATCAATGGACAGCTTGGATTTCTTTGACCTGCAAGGGGAAATCAGGACGGTGACAGGTTCGAGTACAGGATGAGGAATGCAGAGCAACAATGAAGCAGGCTGTATTTCTCAGTCAGCAAGATTAGGATCCCCTTCAAAGAAAGCAGCCGATAACTCTCAGAGGAAAAGCAACCTCATCGAAAGCTAGAGGGTACAGCACTTCAGGGAGGTTGTAGTACTCTATGGCTAATACAAAAAAAGTCTTTGTACTAACAAAGTCAAGGTGCTAACGTAATGGCTCTGTGTACATCCACAGTCGTCCATTCATGCTAAAGCTAACCTCTGGAGCTGAGGCAGGTGGGTCATTCCATGTTAAATTACTTGAGGAAAGAACAACTCTTACATCTTGGATCATCACTCCATCAATGCTAATTCCTAATCTTAATCTTAAGTGTTTATGGCAATGATTGAAAACATGGCACCGAATAGGAGGCTAATATAGCTAACAAGTAATACAAGTTAAAGGTCATTATCACTGTCCAAATGTTCCTAATTGGTTTCAAGAATGCCCATCTGTCATGTTTGTAGATATTTATCTGATCTGAAAGATATTTCAGTAAAATAAATAAATGTTAAATTAAGGCATTTGGAGACTGCTCTGTCCCTTGCTGCAGGTTTTATGACCTTTTAATATTAAGGTCGTTTCACAACAAAGTTAAGGTTATGAAACTGAACACTACAATACTTCAATGTGGCCTATAAATACATTTTTCCCACTAATTCAATAAGTATTTCCACACAAAAAGGTCAAACACTGTCTTTGACACAACTGTATATCTCCTGCTGCAGTGGCTCCATGATCTAGGATGCAAGTGGTTAATTCCCAGTGATTTGACAGGGAATGGCCCATTTGTAACATAAGTCATTTTGGAAGAAACAGCTGCAAAATCCTTTTCCCCACTGAAATGTATAATGATAAAGGACCCTGCCATTCAAGCTCTGACACAATACAAAGAGGAATGTACATACGAGGAGCTCAAATGAATAATCTAATGGCGGTACTCCAGTAAACGTCAAAACATTTATCATACTTTTATGGCAATCAGTGATGGGGAAAGGGATGTTGCAGCCATGCAGACATAACATGTAATCTTAGAGGGAAAAATACACACCCCGATTTAAAGACATTATGCCAGAAATCTCTGAAGAAAGCGCCAAGGCTGTGAGTGGCGGCGGAGCCGGAGGAGTGCAGCGCCCCCTCCTGTGTGTTATCGGTAGTGCTAGAGCCATCGCCTTCCCTATGCACCTCCAAGTGAGCTGCCTTCCTTAACTTCCTTTAGCAAGAAAGATTAAAAGTGTAGAGCGCTTAGAAAGAGAAGTCCAAACAGAATCACTTCAGAAAATAAAATAAAGAACCTTTTCACTAGATTTCCCCAAAGGAGATTTTGAAGATAAATGAGGAAAAAGGGCTGATTATACAGCAGCACGAAGGATCAGGGAGGTATCGTCAGAGGTCTGTTGTTTTCACTGAATTAATGATGAAATAACAGTACAAGTCTTTGGAATCAGTCAATGAAGCAATGCTCTAAAGGTAATAAAAGGTTAGAATATCTCACGAATGTAACTGAATAAATTTGTCTATGTTGTCATGAGCAGAAAAGAGATATGTTCACTGGTCTCTGTTAGACTGCACTGCACTCTTCCTAACAGATTCATGTTTTTCAAGTTACTTAACCAAACAAATGTTAATATTAAAGTTGCATAACTACATATTATGGATCGATCATTTTGAAGCTAAATAAACTGTCAGACATTATATCTGTCTGGAGACTGGTACACTCTATGTCCAAAAGTTTGTAGACACCTGCTCTTCCAGCACTTCTTCTGAAATCAAAGGTATTAATAAGCAGTTTGTCCACAGCCAAGTGCTGGGGGACTTTAAGCCCTGATCCCAGACGTTTGGCTACTCTATTGGCAATGCTTTTCTAGGCTATTATACAATATATATGTGGGCAAAACTGAACACCTGTGTCAGCAATGAGAGTCAAGTAGCTAAACCTGCTAAAAAGAAGTGGTGTCTGGATACTAGTGAACATACAGTATAGCAGGCGGCGTTCCCATTTATTTGCTTGAATCAGGACAGTTTTTTTGCCCCGACTGTAGCCTTCAGGCAAGGATCACTGATTTCTGATCTGATTTCCAGACGGATTAACATAAAAGTAGGGCAACAGTTTTCCAAAGTATGAGTGAATGGAACTTACAAGCAGAGACTGATCAATAGGTCCACCTATAGGTGAAAACAAAACATTAACCTATTCCTTTAAAAACCTGAAATGGCATACACTGGCACTGGTCACATAGCTATTCAGCTTTTTAGCTTTAGCAGTGTTCACAGATAACACTGTTAATTACAATGTATGCCATTTGCTTCAGATTGTTCTTAAAGAACAGCGATACATAAATACTAAAATGTTACGTTTATTTCTGTAAATCCAATTCAGTAACATTTAAAATACTGTGCTGTCTTTGGTGTAATTTTAAGAGCAGCAGAACAGAACAGTTCAATCAAAACTAGCTGTTTTATAAGACATTTCTTCAGCACACTGTACCTGTACTCAAGCAACATGAGTTCCTTAACTTCATTAATGCAAACTTAAAACGAAATGTGTGGGTAACCCTTGTCACATGACTCAAAGGGAGGCAGCCAGGCACAGGCAGGTCCTCTGGCACTAACAGGGGTTAGCCAGCACATTTCTATCAGAAACACTACCAGCTTGAAAACCCACACACAAAGAAAGAACACAGAGAGATGCAAATCCCAAGCCTCTGTCCTCCCACCCTGCCCACCCTCCTTTTCCCTCTTCCCCACCTTCTCCTCTTGCCAGTGCCATTGGGTGCTGGTTTGGGTGTGCGGGTGGAGACGATCTGACAGTGTACTGTGCCCAGCAGCAGCATCAGCCAGATGGCACCAAACACCTCAGTGGCTGGGATGTCGTGAGGCTGAGAGATGCTGAAAAACAACACCGCCGCAGCCACTGGAAAACAAGACAGCGACGGAAAGAGTGAGACACGGACACCTCCTCTCTCAAACTGCTGCTTTTCCTACCACGTCTGCCTCAACCTAGCACACAAGCTGTGACACAGCTAGCTGCTGATACATAGACACAAACACATACAGTCGCAGGCAAAAGCTTGGTCAAAATACATGTTTCCTTGATTTACTAAGTGAAAATAAGTTAACAGACTTTCTACAGAGAACACACTTCTGCATATTTAATACAGAGTTACTGTGTATTTGCTGAATTGAACATATTGGTAAAAATGTGACTTGTGCAAATAATATGGCACATTTTAGATTTTAATATGTTAGACTAAAAATAATTAGCCACTGTTTAAAACTGTCCTGTTTCTCTATTTTCATCTTTTATTTTTCTGCATTTTTTGAATACACCAACTGTCCTTTACATGTGTGAACCCAGTAAATACAGCAACTGTGTAGTAAAACTTGCTTATAAATGCCACGCTTAAGTTTGTTTACGTTGTAGATGTTGACTGAGGTGTTCAAACTTTTGCTCACGACTGTACATTCACATACTGTAAGCACTCTGTAAATACACTCTTAGCAAAAAAGTGTACTATTACAGAACCAAAAAAGTATGACTTATAACAGTAGCATGACCATTTTTGGTGCTATACAGACAAAATGTTACTTAAAAGAACCACATACTGCAGGGTTGAGGTGAGGTGGGCGTTGGTTACAACATGATAATAGTGCTGTATTACAAATATCGCATGCCAAAAGAGGCATCCAACTTAAACATATCCACTCTTAAGCTAGACTAATAGTCAACATTTGTCAAGGACATAATAGGGTGGTACAGTTTCTCCAGTGGCAAGTCAGACAAATGCTTCACCATTAATGAGGGAGAAACTTCCACTCTTTGTGTTTCCATCATCTCTAAACAACAGGTTCATTTCAATCAGGACTGACCCAAGAAGAGTACTGCTCTTGTTGAATTTAACCAAGCCAAAAACAGTATGATTCAGAAAAACAATGATTACTGTCAAAACTCAAGCTTTGGGTGAGTTGTGTGTGTTTCATGTCACGGTCCTAGGCCAGTGTGTACCTGTGTCAACAAGTGGAGGCAGACAGTTGAATAGGTTGTTCAACAGGTAAGTCAGAAACGACTAGCTGAGTCAGCTCTGGCACTCCTGCGATAAATTTTTTTGGGGCACCGTGTTTTGCCCGAAGGCACACAACCAAGAAAACGCCTAATTTACGAGAAAGATCAGCAGGTTTTATTAAACCTTCCTCAACAAGCAAATGAATGCTGCTTCTCTACCCCCTCAGGCTTGAATGTTGAATAACCTAAGTAGTAGCAATGGCAAACTCACCTTGGAGCAGGTAGAGTGAAAGCAGCAGTAGGAAGATGGCTTTGGAGGTCACTTGGATCCACCATCTGAAGAAAAAGGGGAAGAGCACCACCCTGACGATGCCCTTCCGTGTCAGAGACGTCCATGGGCTCTCGGGCTTGGCCTTGGCAAATGCAGAGCCTTGAATGTGTAAGAGTGAGAAAGACATGCATTTATGTAGCTGCCTACAAGAATACCAGTTATTTTATTCTACCAGTATTATACATTCAGACCACACATTTGATGACATAATGAAATGTTTAATGTTTGAATAAATCAGGAAAACCTACTTGCAAAAGCTTTAACATAAAGCCGCTTTTTGCTAATATTTTGGGTGTACTATGCAACGCTCAGCTTTAAGTTAATCAAAGGATCTTTCTTGGTATGAAGAGCAGTTGTTTTGACAGTTTTTTTCATGATATACTGATGTATAAATTGCTAAAAGCACATACTGAATACTGTTTGCCACAAAAATGCTTTAGACAACTGTAAGGCGTGAATTATAGAACTTTGGTCAGTTGTTTCTTCAGTTACTCTTCTTGTAAATAAAGACTGCAACATCTAAAAAGCTTGCTATTTAACACATTAGCTGTTGCAAACTGCTACAGAAAATAGACAGACATTATCTGTGAATATAAAATAGTCAAAATATCAATTATTCACTGCCTGATCTTGAGCCCCACCCAGAGCTTTGGTAAAGCATGTGTGTAGATTTAATATAGATACAATGTAGACCATGATGAGCAGAATACTTTGGAAAAAATACTGACAGCTGAATACTGAATGCACTGTCCTAAATGTTTTCAGTAATGTATTCCATTGTAATACAGTGGCCCTCACTGTTACTGGTTGGCAGTTTCCTTCGTGTAATTTTTCTGTTAATATGTTTCATAAAAATGAGGCTTTAGTGGAGTTCAGTAAAACTGAGATGAATAACTTAATCATATTGATTTAGCTACTCAGGCTTTAGCAGAGCTCAGTTACACTGAGATTAATAACTGATCACATTGATTTATCAGTCTAGTCAGACTTCAGCAGAGCTCAGTAACACTCCGATACATGATTGATAATCACACTGATTTATCAGTCTACTCAGGCTTTAGCAAGAACCTCACTGTTTGTAAAGAAGCCATTTTTTGAGTATGTCTGTACACGCCGTGTTGACTTTAAAATAGTTAATAAACAAGCATTCGTCGTTTTAGACATGAAGTGCATATTATAAATTTATTGGGTAAGTACTCTAAAAGTTATTGTCCTAAAAATTTCAAAGTAACTGTATTCTGAATACTGCCTTTACAAAATATAACTTGGACTGAATACAGATACTTCATTCTATATTCTGAATATACTTTCCCAATACTTGCATTCTGTTACATCCCAACCCTGATTGTAGACACAAATGGTCAGATGATGGGAAGTCTCAGTGCAGAACACTCGCAAGTTCAGCTTGAAGGTGAGGCTTGAACATGACAGTGTTACATCAGAGATGAACTGTGTGAGGTTTAAGCTTGGAAGGAAAAGATACGTGCTAGAGAGGGAGAAGGAGGGAGAAAGAGAAGGAGAGAGATGCATGTCTGCATGCAAAAGCAATAAGGGGAAGGTGAGCATACTGTGCTGAATAATGCATTGTGTAAAGAGAGGCAGAGAGAGGGAGAGGGTGGGAAAGATATATATAGAAGACAAGTGGAGATAACACGTGAGCGCATCAGTCCACATCAGTCCGACTGGGTTCAGAGAAGGCCTGTATGATTTAGAAGACAAGTCAGGTGTTTTATAATTTGAAAAGCATTGTGATTTATGGAATGATCCCTGTTTATTTTAATTGTTAAATGAAACATTGTGTAGTTATTGACAGACTAATAACTGTTTTCTTATCCCGACTAATCAAAGTCATAATGGACTGATAAATAAATTATAGAAATAGTTGTTAGTTGCAGCCCTAATTTGTAGTACTCTCAAAATGTAAGTCAACTCTGGCACATCTAATCTCTGCTGGTCTCTCCTTACCTCTCACTAGATCCACATCTATCAGATCTGGCTTCACATGGCCTGTCTTCTTTGGTTTGTTCCTCAGACCCTGCAGAACAGGAACATGTTATTAGACAAGAAAACACATACCCGCTACCTTAAAGCTGCCTGTTGTGAATGAAACAGCTTTGCAAGACTTTATTATAATCCACACTACCGTTAGGCAACAACTGTAAATCCGTGCTTGTGAAATTTTCACACGTGCACTCACACAAACACAAGCACAAGTGAGCCTGTATCACACTGTGTCTGAGCCTATTTTGGGCTACCACCAACTGAGCATTATACAGCTTCTCATCCATGCACAATCCATAAAATCAGCTTAGTCAGGCTGCATAGAAGTCAATGGATCACTTCGCAAAAGAGAAAAATATCAAAGGGGATTCTCTAAATCACATGTACTTTCTATAAGCAAACATTCTAATCCATTACAGCATTAAAGGGACATTCCAGCCTAAATGCTACATTAAAGTAGCATTTAATGTTATTTGTGGTGTTACAGTGCTCTGTAGCGTGGCAGTGTGTCCCTCAACCTCACCAGTTTGACACAATTCATGATTCTGTGTAATTCTTTTTGCATTTTCATTCATCAGTGCTCTCTTACTAAAATATTCACTCCAAAGTGCTTGTGGTTTTTGAAAGGTTTCTCCCACCTTCAAGACACATCATCAGAAGGTGGATTTTAAACTGTTAAATCACTCAAGAGACTACTGCAGCACAGATGTAGAAGGTGCATAAACATGTTTACCACAGTTGTAGCAATGGCTCAATTTTTCATTTTGGCCAGAGTGCCCCTTCAAAACACTTAAAGCATGACACAGAACACAAACACTATACAACACACAGTGTCTGTGTACATACTGAATCTTAGCCACGTTGAAAAGAAGTAATTTGGGACTGTTTTAATGCTGATCTGAAACTATGGCCTGGATAAGTAAAACATTACAGCGCTAAGATCACAATCTGGTAGTATGAACATCTCTAACAGTTATGATCTTAACACTATAATGCTTCTTATTATTGTTTTGCATCCAAAAGAACGGATTGCCATATGGCCGTAGTTCTGCATCAGCATAAAAGAACAACGTCCAGTTGGAGCCAAGGCACAAATGAATCCAGTATGAGACAGGCTTATTCCACTATAACACACTCTCAGTCAGCAGAGAAACAACATATTACAGCGATCCCATTTCAATGACTAAGTGCTGATGGAGCGTGAATATATATGGAAAGAGCAGCATTTATAACCTCTTTCTCTTACACATACACACACCAACAGGTCACACACACACTCAGCCCATTTATCAACACACAGAGAGCCTCAAACAGTTTTAATTTAATTTTAAAGTTACAATTTTACTCTGAAGTGCTGCACAATATGGACAAAACGCCATAATGAGATTATATTGCTACATACAGCAACTGCAACAAGCCTGAATGATTTTGATATTTCATAAGAGTTAATAAATATATATTCTGTTAACTGTGTGGACAGCAAAAAAGCCAGACTTTTCATCTGATATTAATATATCATAACATACAAACATGGTAAACATTTAGCAGCTTATAGAATAGTACGTGTGAAAGTATGTTATTATTCAAAAACAGCTAAATCTTTTGGCCACTGCTCTTGGGTACAAGTGAGCTAATGCTACTACAGTCGTAGATGGTGACGGCTCGTTGTCTTCTACACTTCTACTCTTCAGAGGAAGGTGTGCCAACAAGTTTGATAAGGCTACATTGAGAACAGAGAAAGATCTTTCCATTGTTGTTATTTATAGCTAACACTAGCTACAGTTAGTTACTTACAGCTGCATTACCTCTGCACACTCAGGTTACAACACTTGCACGCTGTTGTAGCAACATATAATTTAATGCTCACTGTATAAACAAAAGGTCCAGCCAGGTGGAATTTATTTTAAAAAGAGTACTGCAAGACAGCCGCTTTCTTTTTGGCAAAGTATTCATTCGAAAGGCAGCTGGTGTGTTTGAGATTTCATCATTCAATTTCTTTACAGACTTCTGCAGGTTAGCAGGTTTCATGAACAGCTCCAGACTTCGACGTTTCCATCTCCGTGCTTTACAGTACTTTTAGTGCAGTCCGGTTAGAATTCTCCAGCCGTTCTCTACATAAAAAAAGTCCACCATCAGATGCTGTGCTAAAAAGGTGTTTCTCAGAAACAAAGTTTATTAAAGTTTACTTTTAACTTCACAGCCATGTTAAAAGTTAACTTTCACTGAACTGTTGGCTTACGTTATTTGTCCATGACTTTCCGTGGAAGCAATGTAACAAATATCCGAATAGTGATTTCAGTATTCAAATGCTGGTGCCTGGAATAGTTAACTGAGAACCTGAATAGCCGTGCACACCCCTAGTGGTGAAGCTTTGATGGAGTATGGTCAAGTACCCATGTACCCATGTACATCTCTACTTTTAAGGTCACAAACTTATTTAGTTTAGAAAAGGAAGGTGACTTCTTGTCATATAATCAACCCAACAAACTCAGATCTACTTGCTCTTAGACGTCCATACTGCTTAAATGACTTCAAGTGGGCTCTGGCCTTTTGAGGGGTTAAATGACTTCAACACTGGCACCATAGCCTGAATTAACTCCAACCAACATGATCTTCAACACAAATATTTACTCATTCACCAGCTCTGATCAGCCAAAAGCCTGTTGTGTTGATGTGTTACAATGGTGTCTGGCAACCCTCCAGTTATTAATGAACTGAGTCCCTCTGGCTTAATTTCCCACAGAGGCAGGACTGAGTGCTTTTACTGAATGACACTCCGATGGTCCGTTCATTCACACAGCGCCCTGCTGGTGGCCCCTCCATCAGTGACAAGATACACACAGGCCTGATTAAATGTCTAATCGCATTAAGCTGACACAAACTCTCTCAATCAGAAGAGTGGAGAGAGGCTATCAACCATCAATCAGACAGCTCAATGGCTTCCTTCTGTACACTCTCAAACACGATCTGTTCACAACAAAGAAACAAACGCACACACACAGGAAAGAGAAAGAACACCTTACAGATGGACTAAAAATGGTTATATAATGAAAAAAGGACCCACATTTGGTTTATGAAATGGCAAAGTCACAGCCACAACAAAATGCAAACAACTCTGACTAAAACTTCAGAAATTGAAAGAATTGTATATAACAAACCACATATATCACCTTCCCAGACAGGCTCTACCACCCATCCCTGTTCACCACTAGAGGGAGCAGTTATTAGCTTCCAATACTCTCTGGTGGCTCTTTGTTAGGTCATAATCTGCCACAGTTAAAACATTTCCATGATCACATATCAGTTTCATTTTATTCACAACGCCTTGGGCTCTGGTGATCACACAGCTTTCAAAGCACTCCCTACCCGATTAGTTGAGACTGTTACAGCATGCTGTTAAAACACCACATAACTGCAAGGGTGCTGCAAACCAGACAATACTGCCATGTTTGCTCACTACTGTTCAATCATTCAGTCGTATTCTTAATGTCTGCAGACATCTCACTGTAAGGTGATTACTGTCCCATGTGAGCCTGCAGTTAAAGGGGGTCTCACAGTAGCAAAGTAATAAAGCCTCCTCTCCCTGCTCTCTCTGACCCCTACAGTACTAAAGAAACATAGTTTATCCCTGAACTAGTAATGAAAGAGTGTCTACACTATCACACTCAGTCAGGTCTTTTGGGGACATGACAGATGGAAAGCTAAGGATAGAGAGAATGAAGAAAGACAAGAAGAAAGAGATCAAAGGAGAAGAAAATCAAAAGAGAGAGGGACATAAAGAGAGCAAGAAAGAAAAAAAGAAAAAGAGGGAGAAAGAGATGAAAGGGGGGGGGGTGCTCATGGGAGTCTGTTTACAACAAGGTCAGGGACTGTCCTCCCTGCCTCTCTATCTGGACTATCTTCCACTCTGAAGTGGGCCAGTTATCTGGACATGAAGAGAGGGAGTAAATGAGGGGAGAGAGAACAGTGGTGAACAGATAAACAGATGAATGTGAGGGACATAAGGTCACTGGGCAGCCCTGGTCTGTTGTTTGTGTGACAGAGTTCAGAGGTGCTTGTTTTTAACAGGTGAAACATAAAGGTCACTCAGCGGAGGATGCACAAGGTCATCCTGCACTGTCATTTTCTGAATCACATGAGGGCTCTGATGTAAGATAATACAAGATGTTCCCAAACACACCATTGGCTGGAGAAAAAAACTAGGAACACCGATCATCGAAATTCTGGGCCACAGAAATTCTCTAATATTTTTCGCGTTCATATCCGCTGATGCAGATAGATAAACATATACTCAAATTATTTTTTTCCAATTTACCATCTACCCACCCAGACAGCAGGGCCAATTGTGCTCTCTTGGGCTCCCGACCACAGATGGCTATAGCATCACCAACACTTACATGATTGTACTGCTCGGGAGCCCCCCTAAATGGGCTATTTTTCCGGGTTTAGTTTCTATATATGGACTGTATTGTGCTGGGAGTGTTCTCAAACTTTGACAGTGTTATCCAATTGTTTTACTCCAAAGAAAAAGTGAGGAAAAATGTTTTACATGACATGGGCCTTTCTTTTAAGCACGCGTCTGCCGATACAGAAAACACTCCACAAGGGGTTGGATGTGAACATTGCCGTACCGATAAAATACCATTTACCTCAATGTGTCTTCACTATGAATAAGTCTAACCAATAGCGCATGCTAATCACACAGTGAAAATGTCTGACTACAGTGCTCTCATTAGATAAGACAGATCACAGAGATAACACTGTCAACAACTGATCAGAGATTTTATTTATTTATTTATTTATTTACTCTGCCTGAGAACCGTTATGATGATGTGATATGCCACATGTCCTTGAGAGTAGCTCACTGACAGAGTCACACTAAAGCTTCTACTATTAAGAGCCATACTGTCACTGTTTTGCTAGTCAAGTGTGAAACCATTACAGTGAATGCATAACAATTTGACTTCGCTTAACAAGAGCAGTCTTAGCACTAGATCCCAAACTATCATCTCTCTCTATGTGGTCAGGATCAAGTCCTTCAAAAAGCATGCGGCAAAGTGCTGCTGTTGTTTCTTTTATTTATTAATATCTAGCACATGGCAAACAACCTTGGAGTAATAACCACACAGGAATCTGTGAGGAAACAGTGAGTTGTTGTCTAATATTATGTAAGAAGTTAGGGAGAAGACAAAGGGCAAATTTAATGAGACTCGTGAAATGCGTCTTTAATATCCGAGTCACCTGTTATTCCAGGAAAACAGCCAAGAACTGATTAAAAAAGGGGATTTTTTTTTCCTCCTGATTTGTATCTCTTCTGGTTAAGTCTCTGATTTCTGGGTCTCAACTTTGCCAAGTATCTCTCTTTCTCTGACACACACACACACGCACGCACACGTATCACATGCCGAACCCAAACCATAGCGGAGTCACCCAGGTGCGTTAAAAATGCAGGACTAGTTAGGACGACCAAGGGGAACAACCACACACAGCTGAGTCTATGGGCTTCAGACTGTTAGGCTAGCTCAGGCCGTTGCAGTACTCACCAGCCTAATGAACTGCTCAGAGGAGTCAGAGTGGTGGAGAAGAGGGGAAACGGTTTAACTGAAAACAGAAAGCGTGCTGATGGCACACAGTCAGTGCACAGCTCAACACTGACACACTCACAAGTATACCCACACTCTCGAGCTCTGGGAGAAGAAAAAACGGCCAACAGACTGAAAAAAGAGGGGAAGATGGAGGAAAGAAATAACTGAGGGGAGGTCTTACCTTAATTTCTCTTTGTTCCACAGACTTCTCCCAAATCTGCTGGTCGTACGCACCGATCTGAGAGAGAGAAAAAAATCCAGTTAAAGATGAGGAGCAAGTGAAATTATGCATGCAAAACCAGCACACAAAAAGTGTACAATGGAGAAAAGGCCATAAAGGAAGGTTCCTGAAAATCTCAGTTTCTAAAACAATACAGACAACAGGAAAACATCAGCCTCCTAGCACACCACCAAATAGAGTCGTATGCAAATGTTTAAACACCCCCGCTCCATATTTTGTTGATTTTCTGCATCAAAATAAGTCACATCTTCTACAGAGAACACACTTAAATATGGCATTATCATACATAAAAATAAACATAAAAAATGTTATAACTTCTGTCAAACACAGGTCACATTCGATGTTTTACTTTTTGTTAAATTCAGTAAATAAACAGTAATTGTGCATTAAAATGTGCAGAAGCGTGTTCACTTTTTTCACTTCAGAAAATCAACTAAACACATCATTCATCCAAAAAAAGAAACAATCTACCCAATGGAGATTATACAGGCATGTCAATATACAATTTTAATAAGCAGTTAGACACATTTTAACAAATGTTTTCTATTATTGTTGATTTTTACTTTATTATTATTTACTTTTATTACTTTTTAACATCTGATCGTTTTATTTTATTGTTTGTTATTTTGTATATTGTTTACTATATTTTTGCTGCTTTTAGGTTTTTTCATAATTTTATTTTCATATAATTGTCATTGTCCCTTTCTGTATATGCTAATATCAAACAAAGACAAATATTATTAGACCACAGGCACCTGAATGTTTACATACAGCTGTGTGTCTCCATCTCTCTCTCCATCTACATTTTTATATGTTTGTTTTTTTTTTGTTTATATATCACATGCACATTAAACAACCCTGGCAAATATTATACGTATATCCCTGTTAAAAGTTTAATGTGCTAGTGTTAACTAACTAGCTACGTTTTCAACTGTAGTTCCTGATGCCTGACATCATAATCCTAAAATACGATTACCAAGAATAAAAAACACATATAAAAGTAAGAGACTTTAGAGATAAACTAACAATAAAGAAACATAAATCACACTAAAGACATAATAGAGATGCAAGGCAGCAAATTTACAAGCAGGTGAGTCACCTTAGCAATATACAAGAAACAGAATAACAAAACTTCACCACACTACACTCTTAATAAAAAAAGTTCCACAAAGAGTTCTTTGAGCAATTCACAATTCCTCTAACCACGTCTGAAAAAGAGATCTGAGAATAACAAACATAATGTAAAGGTTCTTCACCAAGTTGCAGTCCCTTCTAGAGCCTTTATATTTCGTGGATGTTCTTTGAACTTTTTTCTTCACATTCACATCTCATCCCAATGACTAAAAGGTTCTTTAGGGAATCAAAAATGCGTCTTCTATGGCATCGTGCACAGATTCCTCTTTGGCAGCTTTATTTTTGAGGTCTGAAACATTCTGCACGCAAGTACACTGAGTATGCTTCAGACCTTAGAGTGCACTTTAGAAGCATCAGAAGAGGAAGGGTACACTAGTTTACTGTTGCAGTGCATTAAGAGGACGCGATCAGCTAAGACCTAAGGCTAGGCATACACCAACTAAAATGACCTGAACTTTCACACCCCTTCACCTCGCAGCACAAAGAGGACCGAGATCTGCTATCAATCAGCTGCTGCAGAGCTGATTAAAACCACCCACCGGAACAACAAAAGCCTGTCAGGGTTCAGCAGTCTCAGAGACCAGCGCTGCCAACAGCCAAGCCTGAACATGTGAGCATGTGTGTATGTGTAAGAACAAGAGCAAGTATGTGTGTGTGTGTGTTTGTACTGAAAATATTTTAGGGAGAAAAATGTCCTGAGTTTGTAGGAAAGCCAGAGGAAAAACAGATCTGTTTCAAACCCGTTTTCTGTTTGGTTAATGAGGTTGAGGTTAGGGTTACGTTTTCGGGAAAGAGAGAGGGTGTGTGAGGATATGGTGAACCAAAAGGCTGGGTTGTATTAACTTTGCTGCACGGATGTCAGACTTCTTTTATCAGCGGCTGGAGCAGAGCTGGCGCTCTTCTATTCTGAGTGTGTTCATGTGAAAGCAACAGCGCGCTGCAAAGGCCTGCAAACAGCCTCTTCCTCTGAGCTCATCTCACTCACGCCTCAAAACATTTACACACTTCCTGTACAACATACACACACATATACATATATATATATATGTATGTGTGTGTGTGTGTGTGTGTGTGTGTGTGTGCGCGTGTGTTGGGCTGGAGCTATGAGGCCAACATAGCTAAAAGTTAACGGAAGTGTATTATTTTAGTCTTGAAGCTTTAGGGTACTAGAGAAGCAAGTTTCAGACACCAAAAATGTCTCGGCTGATCGAGCAAATTTGGGGTGGAAAAATATGTGCAAACCTGATTTTCTGACCTAACTGTTCTATTTACTGAAAAGGACCATGCAAACCTGGCTTTGAGTGTTAAACTTGTTAAGCATGGTTATTTTCATAATCGGTTCCAGCTGCACTTACATCAGCTCTCAAATGCTGACATCCTTCATATTTGTGGGATATGTACTTTCCATAGAGGATGCCAGCTTGTGGCCTATCGGAGGTACAGATGGGTGGGGTTAGATCTCATTATAGCATTTGTTTACTTAATTGGGTGTACACCTCTGAAGTCATGCGTCATTCTGTATTCGGCGTCATGCCCATATTAGCAACTCCAGATCTAAGCTGGGTTTCTCTATGGAAAAAACAAATAAGTAAGTCTACTATTAAACATCAACACTATTATATAATAACACCGGCCATTCCTATGTACTCTAGCAGTGGCAGTATGTTAAATCACACACGTCTACAAGAAAAAATAACTCGAAATCCATCAACCAACTAGGTACAAGTCACCTCTTACGGCAGCTGTATGTTTTTTTGTTTTTTTTTTAACAATGTAGGATATTTTGTCCTTATCATTCATTTAAAAATGCAGATATTTTAATAGAACCAATGGTCACTATTGTGTCTGTCACCGTAGAAGCAGAAGAGCACACACAGTGACCTAAGAGACAGTGAAAACTACCAATGTGATTAAAGATGTACGATACTGCTGACAGTGAGTGAGAGAGAGATACGGCACGATGCTCCCCTCGAACCTTCTCCTCCACCACCAACCTCTTTTGGAAAGATGCACAAACACTCTGCAATAAAAGACCCGTGACAAGAAAGTGGAGTGGGGGCTGTTGTGATATGATGTAGAAGTTTAAGGTTAAAAAATGTTTCTGCATTTGAAGAAAAAAAAATCTCTACAGTATTAACCGAAAGCAACATTCAGAAATAACATTTCGCTTGAAAAAATGTGTAATAAATAACACTTCCACTTGCACTGGGCTGAACTGAAGAAGCCTTCGACACAAAGCTATAGGCAAGATATTTTATTTAAATACAACTTAGATGTGATATTTATTCAGTTAAACAACAAAATTAAATTTTAAGTTAGCAAGTTCAATAGCAAGTCTTGATCTGGTTGCAGTAAGTGTAGTCCTTCATTTGTGCAAGTCAGTTTTTTGCTGCTTGTTGTGAGCATCAATCAGCAGAAGCACACGAAAAACTACTGGAGCAATTTTATTCATGAAAACAATGTTGCGGAATCATTTCACTCCGCAGGCCGTGTTGAGCTACTTCAGGATTTCTTCAGAGTTAAATGTCGTGCAGTTTAAAGCTCAATGTGTGTAGAGAACTGAAATGAGGAACTGCCAACAGAATACAGCTGTATGCAAAAGTTTGAACACCCCCATCAAATTATGTTTTGCTGATCTTTTAAGTGAAAATAAGTTACACATCCTCTACACAGAACACACTTCTGCACATTTTAATGCACAATTACTGATTATTTGCTGAATTTCACATATTGAAGAAAAGAATAAAATAAAATGTGGCCTGTGCAAAAGTCATGCCACAGTCTATATGTTCCAACATGTACAACTCAGCAAATAAATCCAGAAAAAAATCCATCCTTAATTGCGTTCTCTGTACAGGATGTATTGACATGTTTTGTTGATTTTCTAGGTGAAAATAAGTTATTTGACCAGGGTCACCCAAACTTTTGCATATGACTGTACAGCCACTCTCGCCTATTTTCTAAAAACACAAAGCAACAGACAATAGCCAACTATCCAAGATTGACAACCTAAAAAACAATCAACTACCTTCTTCAGTGCAGCACCTGATAGCACCTGTGGTGGCTATCAACATTCCGTGGAGAAGGTGCCACACTGACTGAAGAACCCAGAGAAAAACATGCTGTGAGCAGGTTTCAGAGTTAAGACCACAGTCTCAGTTTTTAGCTCCATGGCTTAAATGGAATTTCACTGTTTGGACCTTCAGGCAGCAGATACACGGCATATACAGAATGATCTCTGAGCTTTTATTTGAGGAGGACATGGCTTTCCTTTTGGCTCTGCAGGGTTCCCTTCGACACACATTCAGTTTTCATGAGTCACCCGCTCTGATCCCATCTGGACCTAATCATATTTTCTTCTTCTCAGAAAGCGCACAACCACTTTCAAAATTTAGAGAAAGGGCTCGTGTCCAGAGAGAGTTTTTATTTTCCAATTTTGGTGTGATTTTAATACAGCACCTGCTCTACACCACTCTAAATCTAAATAAAGGCAGACAATAAAAGGGCAAACCAAGTTCCCAGAAAGCTAAGAAGTTTATTCTTGGGGAGTCACAAAAAGTTTTAAGTGTCAGATAAATGCGCTGATGAAAAGTTAATCAGAGCGGAGTGGATTAGCTCAGGTTAGAGTTTCTCTACGCCATCGTGGTTCACCTGGTGTCCTTGTCTTCTTTGTACAGGAAGCGACCTGGTGTGAGAGTGTGTGTGACTGCAGCAGGAACGGGCAGCAGCGGGGCGGCGGGCTCACTGGGGCAGTTGTTGATTTGGTGTGTGTGTGTTGATCACTGGTTTTCTGGGGTGTCGTTTGCACACTCATACACAGGAATGGAAAAGTCTGCATCATTCATGAGCTGCATCCTAACCTT